GCTCTTGCTTGAACCAGGACGGGGACAGCCCGACGCTAGGAGCGTGTGGCGTGAGCTTCTCACCATTCCCTGCCGCCCTCTACAGCTATGGATCTCGTACAACCAGATCGGGTCCCTCGCGGGGGTGGAGAAGCTGTCGCACCTCGAGGTGCTCTTCATGTCCAACAACAAGATCAGCTCCTGGGCCGAGGTGGAGCGCCTCGCCGCCTGCTCGAACATGCGCGACCTGCTGCTCAAGGGCAACCCGCTCTGCGACGCTTGCGCTGAGGCGGGCGACTGGCGCATCCAGGTCGTGAAGCGACTGCCTGGACTCAAGGTGCGGCGCCCAGCCAGCGGCCGCGCGCAAGACCGGCCGCCCACCCGCTCCCTCTGACCGGCGTACGCGTGCATGCGTAGACGCTCGACGGGGTCATCATTGACGACGAGGAGAGGGAACGTGCAAAGGAGCTATGAGACGGACGACGCGGAGTAAGTGTAGTCCGGAGAGATAGACGGAGGTCCGTTTCTCGTGTTTGCGCTTTTTCGCGCTGCTGTGAAAAAGTAAAACTCGGTGCGGGAAAGGAGACCGCGCACTCACGCTGTCACGCTGTCTCGTGTGGCTGATGAAAGGCAATCTCCATTTTGTCCCCACTCGCCTACTTACGTTTCATGAAAATAAAATCGCTCATGCGACCTGGCGGTGTCGAGGAAACGTTGGGAAGAGGCACGAGGAGGGCGGCGACCTCAACCGACTATGGAGGACCCGTCACCAGACGACGCAGGGCAGACGACGGGGAGGCGGAGCAGACGCGCAGGGCGAGACGAGGGAGGGAGCAGGATGTTGCTGAGATCAGCAGGAGGATGCACGACGAGATTAGGAGCAGCAGGGACCCGAGGGACCATGTGGAAGACGGCTAGTGCTAGTCCCCCATCGGGAGGACGACCCCGGCTAGTCGCCGACCACACCCACAAAGAACCCTGCACAAAGACCGCAGGGCGGGGACCTGTTCCTTTTTACCCATCTCCTAGAGTAGAGGTGTCCGTTTTATTTATTTATTTATTTGGCGGTGTCTTTCTAGGACTAGGTACACACTCCCTCTCTAAAAGTTATAGTCAAATATACTAAAATGGACTTAATGCCACAGATACTAGAGGGGCTTCTCCTGCGGAGTCGTGCGTGCGCAGGGCTCCTCTTTGCTTTTCTTCAACTCCCTACTATCATCTCGTTCCCGACCTACCAGAGAAACTAAAAAGCCCAGCCGTATATACGTTTTGATACAGTAAGAGCTCGCAGACTTTTTACCTCTTCTGCGCAGCAGACCGCTAGGCCTCAGCCTTAGGAACAGGAAGAAAAATACCTCCCACACTGCAAGGGGCTATTCTTTCCCATGTCTCTTCGCGGGCCGCCACACGAGAGAATTTTGCGGTGTGTTTTATTTAGACATTAGAGCCTTTTTGCATACGGAGAAGGGGTGGAAAGGTAAAGCCGTAACACGATACAATGATGTCATATCCTACTCTGTCATTTTCTTATTAGATTTTTGTCTCGGGCCTCAGCTACTGAGATTACTCGTACACAGTACCATTAGCTATTACGGTCACGACGCTGAGAATCACGGTTCATGCCACGAGCGGATCTCCGCCTCCACCGTCTCGAGTAAGCCCGGCTGCTCGGAGAGCGCCCGGCGCGCCGTCGGCGCCCACACGGCTGCAAGGTTGCGGTACTGCTGCAGCATCTCGCCGAGCCCGCGAATCATCATCGTCGTCATGTTGAGCCTACAGTCGAGGGCGGTTCTCCTGAAAGTGCTACCCCCCCCCCCCCCTTGCCGCCGCCGCGCACATGACGAGGTATTCGCACGCGGAGATGTCCTTGAGCGGATCGCGCGCCTCGACCGAGTCGGACCATTGTATCACGTTGAGCGGGTACAGCCACGCCGCGTCCATCCGCCCGAAGTAGACGCAAGCCTGTGGCGGCAGAGTGGCGCGGGGTGGCGGCGGCGAGGGCCGGGCGGTCGCGCGCGGCAGTGCGAAGGCGCGGGGGCCACAGTCCCGCAAGGGCAGCTGGCTTTGGAGAGCGACGCTGGGAAAGGGTGCGGCGGGGTGGCCTGCTCGTACGCCACCTCGGGGTCGAGCTTCTCCGTCTTGACGCCGAGCGTCTCGAACTGGTGGCGCGCGATGGCGGCCTTCGCCCTGGCGTGCGCCGCCGGGTCAGCCTGCGGGTCCGTCTTCGGGTCGATTCGCAGCGCGGCCTCGACGAGCAAGTACGCCTTGGCGACGTCATACCGCTGCTGGTCCGTCAGCCGCTTCACCTGAGGCGAGCGCGGCATGGCGCGCGGGATCAGCGGAGAGTGTGTCAGCAGCGTGTGCGTGCGCGTGTAGTGTGTGTGAGCGTGCGCCGCGGACCTGCCCATAGTCAATCAGCCCCAGCTTTGGCGGGTGGACCGAGTCCACGTAGAGGATGTTGCCCGGGTGCGGGTCGGCGTTGAAGCAGCCGTCGATGAGCACCTGCTCACAGCCGCGAGTGGAGGCGCCGCCTCGCCTCCGCCCCTCCGCTCGGCACGCCGCCCTCCGCAGCGGCGCGCCTGGTGCGCAGTGACGGAGAGGAGCTCGTCCACCAGCGACGCCGCGTTGATCGGGATGAGCGCCTCTGCGGAGAGGGCGGCGAGGTCGTATCGCGACGCGCCGAGCGTGAGCACGCCGATCGTCCAGTTGTACAGCCGCGCCGCGCCGCGCCAGCAAGCGGCGCGCACCCGCTGCAGCGCAATGTAGCGCTCGTACGTGTTGTGCGAGAGCTGCCGGACGAGGCGGCCTCGCGAAGCGGCCTCGCGGGACTCTGCCTCGACGCGCGCCTTCTCCGCGGCCAGGAACTCCTCCTTCGTGACGCCTACGGGACCGAGGTGCCGCCGAGGTGCAGCCGGGCCGGCGCCGCGCCTCTCGCCGCGCCTCGCGGGCCGGCGCCGCGCTGCCGTGCGACGAGGGCCGCCTGCGCGT